TTTTTAGCATTGCATAAGATATAGGTAATCACGTTTATTTAAATGTGCTTTCTGACTTAGTTATCAAAGTGTACGTTCTCATTGATGTGGCGTGCTAAGGTTTAAATGGAACTTTCCGTGTTTTGAGTCTTTGATTATGAGTAACTCACACATTACAATACTGACGAAAAATTACGTTCGGTAAACTAATGCCCTTTCTCTGGGGGTCAGGGCTTCCAGGTCCTCCTTGGTGCATGGTTCGGGCAGGAGGGGCCAGACAAGGAGATGCCCTATGGTCTGCTCCTGCCCACAGTCTCATGCAGTTTGTCCGACTGGGACGAGGCCTCATTTTTCAGTAGTGTCCTGCATCTTCCTGTGCCTGTTCTTAGGCGGTTGAGACATGCCCAGGTTGGCCATGCCTCCTCCGCTCCTGGAGGGATGGATTCCTTTGGGATGAAGGTTAGCTCGTGTGGGACATCTTGGAGATGGTTGGACCACATGGCCATCCTCTGTGGCTCTGCATTATTGCTAATTAATTAAAGGTTTATTTGTCACATATTCATTTGTACAGAATGGCAGGTCCCGTGTAATTGGGACCTGAATTGCTCTGACAATTACATATTTATTATTGGTTGATTAATAAAAAGTTATCACACATTAAAATCATTATGCGTCATTATTATTAATGTAAAATACGTTAAAAGATAATGTCATTTAAAATATCAGATTTGCACACAGGTTGCGTTAAAAGTCTTTGGACAATAAAATGGCAATCTCAGTCCCCATTCAGTAGTCGCACGATATGCGGTATTGCACTGTTTTTAAATCTCTCAGTTCTGGCAGTGACAGTGTTCAGTTTGTGGCTAAATCTAGTGTCTCTACCGCTGGTCTCTCCTCGAGTAGAAGGCAGCCACTGTCTGAATGTCGGGGACTCCATCAGACCGCGTCCGAACTTCAGGATCAGGTGTTGGCGTCTTTGCTGAAGTGAAGGTAGACCTAGGAGACTGCATGCATCCGAGTACCGGGAGTAGTCTTTGCCGAGTATGATACGACATGCCCGGCGTCTGGATGTTCTCTATCTGGGTTGTCTGTGTGGAAGTCAGACCGGGGCCCCAGACAGGGCAGGCATATTCACACAAGGGACGTACGTAGCTTACGTACACAGTCACCAGGTCAGACAGGTCACCCCTAGCCCTTATTTTCTGTCGACCGCTGGCAAGTCCATAAGCTTTTCGACCTGTATCTGAATTTCAAACCCTTTATTTCAAGGATTTTCAGAAGAAATATCATCGACTTAACCGGGTGAAATATCAGGGCCGCGCCGACCTACTCATAACCATGGTCAGAGGGGAGAGTTCGGCAGTGTTCAGAAGGCCATGTTCGGCTATATGTGTCACTAGAGACATAACCGTAATGACAAGCTAGTTACTAGTAGTCCTAGTTGTATAACACATGTGAGAATGCATCTGCAGCAGAGACACCTGTGCTACAGTGCAATGTGAACCAGTCAGAATTGCCCTGAGGAAGGTGACAGACTGAATAAAAAATTTGGTTGTGTAAAAAGAGCCTCTTAGTTGTATAACAGTTTCTCAAGGACGCGGCAAGTTTCCTTATCTTTCCGTCCATGACTCATCATGTGCTCCCGGCAG